TCCTCTGAAGAAGGGTCTAGGCCCGAAACGTCAGCCTTCCTGCTCCTCTGATGCTGCTTAGCCTGCTGTGTTCATCCAGCTCTACACCTTGTTATCTCATTTTCCTAGTTCCCATCAGTTCTGAGGGAGGGTCACCGAAGCCGAAACGTTAACTCTGATTTTTCTTCACAGAAGTTACCAGACGTGCTGAGCTTTTTCAGCAACTTTTGTTCCTAAAACGCTTCCCCTACTGAAAACTCAATTATCTAGACGCATCCCTCATTCACTCCAGTGATTTAGAGAACCAGGCCCGCCCCTCTTTCACTCCCATTAGTTGGAGAATTAGCCGCACTCGAACGGTCCTGCAGCCATATTCGTGTTCTATTGGTTCTGACCTGTTGTCAATCAACTGCGTTCTGCCGTGAGGTGGAGCATGCCCAGTGTTGTCCCTGCGGTTGGACTCCGACGATGGGCCGCATTCTGTTGTAACCCGGTGAGGGCTCCCCAGAGAAACCGGGAGAGAACGGTGGATGGGTTGCCTGGATACAGAAACACAACGAGAGGAGGAGACAGTGAATACTGATTGAAACTTACCTTTATGGCATGTCATCGGCGACAACGCCTCAGATTCTTCCCTCACATAACCCAAGTTAATAGCCGCCATCTTCACCGGAGCCTGTCGACAGCACGGCGCATGTGCGACGCTTGTTCATTTTTTTTGTCCCGTCGCCGATTCACTCTCATTGTTCGAGGGACTCGCCCCGCCCATCGCCTCCTCCATTTGTTGGAGGACTGCCCCCACTCGGTCCTCCAGTCCCGCCCCCTCCTCCTTTCGGCTGAGAGCTGTCAATCAGTTAGTTTGCATGTAAAACAAAACAGAAATTGCTGGAAATTACCGGTTCTGCGGAAGGGTCACTGAACTTGAAACCATAACTCTGATTTCTCTTCACAGATGCTGCCAGATCTGCTGAGCCTTTCCAGCACTTTTATTTCGAAAACATTTTCTGCCTTTGTTTCTGATTCCCAGTATCGGTTTGTATGTGAGTTGCTGAATGAGATGTGAGGGCCAGGAGCACTGCTTCCAGTTGTCCCAAATTGTTTACAGGGAAAGAATTATCCAGCACTTTATTGGAATTGGACTCTGTGGCTGATGGGCATTTAGAGCTTGGAGGTCCAAGAGAAAAAAATGTTCCATAAAAGCTGGACAACAAAGAAAAAAAACCTAAAGAATTGCTTGTGCTGGAAATGAGAAACAAAAGCAGAAATTGTTTTAAAATAAAATTCAGCAGGTCAGGCAACATCTGCAGGGAGTTAATATTTCAGGTCCAGTGAAATCTATTGCAGAAATCTATTTTTTAACATGTGGCTTACTCATAGCTGGGCACATTTCCCGCACACATGGGCACTAGAAACAACCGAAGCTTCCATTATTTGCTACAGAGTATAGGAATAGCACATCACAGGTGTCAGCCCTGCTGTCATGCCATCTTATAAGAACTCACTTGTAATTGTTATACCATGAAATAATCAATGCAATTAATCAGTTGCCAGTTGTCACTTTTTTGATTTGTTTCCCAGTTGTCAGTCCTCTGAAAGTACAACTGTTAAACTACAAATCCCTTCTGCCTGCTTAGTTGAAGCTGAAGAATATAGCCTTACAAAAAGTAAATCCTGACAATTGCCATTACAGACAATGAACAAGACAAACTGAAACACCTCTTCCCTGTGTACAGAATTGCAATGGTGCACTACATTTTCCAGCAGCACCTACTCAGGAGTAGTACCTCACTCTGGATGTGTCTCCTCCCAACTGATCATTCAAAGTGTACTGATTGTCTCATTCATAGTCACAAAGAAACTCCATGAGATCCTCACACTTGAGTTGATGCACCATATGGTTCATAGAAAGCTGATTTATATAATTTTTAACCCAAATAGCTAACCAGACTTTAGTGTTTACAAATATCATCAGAAACACGCTCTAGAAAACATAGTTTGGAGGTATAGGTCAAACTCCAACCCATTCAGTTAATTGGGCACTCATCAGTGTTTAACCAGTCCTGATGAACCAGAAAATCCCAATTCACACACTGTGCAGGTGGATAGTTTATACCCAGTGTCAATGTGCTGTTGTAAATTGATGTTGTGATCAGTTCAAAAGTAAACAATTGTATAAACAAGTTAACCATAATATCAGCACTTTTAATGAAGCAGTGTTTAATAACATCAATACAAATAGCTCACAAATGACTATGGTTCATTCATTGGTGTGAGTATGAGGAAAGTCTTTCAACTGTACATCTTTGCAAATTCACTGATGTGTGAACAGGGTGGATGACCAAGTGAATCCTTCCCATACATTTCTCCTCAGTGTCAACTCACTGTTGTGTTAACATGTTTGATCAAAGTGAAAAGACTTCTCCGCACTTGGAGCAGGTGAACAGATTCTACCTTCTGTATACTTGTACTTGCTGGTGTATCTGCAGGCTGGTGATTGAATAAAGCCCTTCTCACAGGGAACAGTCGAATGATTACTCCCCAGGGTGATGCTGTTGGTGTGCCAACAGGTTTGACAAATCAGCAAAGCCTTTGCCACACTCAGCAGATGAATGGCCTCTCACCAGGGTGAATTCGCTGATGTCTCAGCAGTTTGGATGAACGAGTGAATCCCTTCCCACACTCAGAGCAGGTGAATGGTCTTTCCCCAGTGTGAACTCGCTGGTGTATCAGCAAGTCAGTTGTCTGAGTGAATCCTTTCCCACATTCAGAGCAGGTGAATGGTCTCTCCCCAGAGTGTACACGCTGGTGTATCAGCAGGTTGGATGACTGGGCGAACCCTTTCCCACATTCAGAACAAGTAAATGGTCTCTCTCCAGTGTGAACTCGCTGGTGTCTCAGCAGGTGGGACGACTGAGTGAATCCCTTCCCACACTCAGAGCAGGTGAATGGTTTTTCCCCAGTATGAACTCGCTTATGTCTCAGCAGGTCAGCTGTCTGAGTGAATGCTTTCCCACACTCAGAGCAGGTGAATGGTCTCTCCCCAGAATGAACTCGCTGGTGTTTCAGCAAGTCAGATGACCGAGTGAATCCCTTCCCACACACAGTGCAGGTGAATGGTATCTCCCCAGTGTGAACTCGCTGGTGTTTGAGCAGGTCAGTTGACTGAGTGAAGCCTTTCCCACATTCAGAGCAGGCGAATGGTCTCTCCCGAGAGTGAACTCTTTGGTGTATCAGCAGATTGGATGACTGAGCAAATCCTTTCCCACATTCAGAGCAGGTTAATGGTCTCTCTCCAGAGTGAACTCGTTGGTGTTTCAGCAGATTTGTTTTCTGAGTGAATCCCTTCCCACAGTCAGCACAGATGAATGGTCTCTCCCCAGTGTGACTGCGTTGGTGAATTTTCAGCTGGGATTGGTAAAGAAATCCCTTCCCGCAATCCCCACATTTCCACAGTCTCTCCCCAGTGTGACTGTGCTGGTGTTTGGACATTTCAGATATATCTTCATAGACTCTTCCACACACACCGCATTTGTGATTCTCTCCAGTACGAACAGTGCATTTTCTTTCAAAGTCCTGAGATAATTAGGTTTTAATAAACAGAGTGACAGTCTGATTTGGATGGGATTCCATTTGAATTCTCCAATTGCATGTTAACCTATCAAATAGAAAACAAATGTAGTTATTGAGAAACCAGAAAAATTGACATAGTTTGTAAAACTTAGAAATTAAACTGTTCGATTGTGGAGCTGACATTTGGGGAAACCGCTGATTATCCTTAAAACTGGTTTATAAACATCCTTCAGGAAAGGGAACTATGGAGTGGTTTCGCAAAGTTACAGAAAGAGATAAAGGTGGTCAGGGTCATTTTATTGATCTGCAATTCCACTTGTTCCTGTTTTCATCCCATACCCTGTGATCCATCAGAAGGACTAAGCACAAGTGCAGAAGCAAAATGCTGGAAATCTGATGTAAAAACAGAAACTCAGATACTCAGCAGGTCTGGCTGCATTTGAAATGGTGACAGATACAGGAAACATTATAACCTTGAAGAAGTGTTCAAATGATGATGCAAAACACCACAACATAGGCTACAGGCTGAATGCCAGAAATGGGATGAATGTAAGGAGGTGCTTGATGACCAACATGGATATAATGGGAACAATATGTTCAACAATTTTATATTAGAGTCTCTGAAGCCATTTTGTTTCATACTCCTCTAACTCTTTCAGTAAGCAGGTAGGTACAGCAAACAGAGAAGAATGCAAGTGATACATTGTCCTTCATGGTGAGAGGATTCAAATACAGTAGCAGGTATATCTTTCTGTAAGGGCCTTGGTGAGACCACACCTGGAATATTATGTGCAGTTTTGTTTTCCTTTCCCAAGGAAAGATGTTCTGGATATTGAGAGAGCAGAAAGGAGGTTTACCAGACTGATTCCTTCAATGTCAGGATTGATTTCAGAAGAGGACTCCATCTGTTAGGGTTGTATTGTGATGCTACTATGCCTTAAGAAGGGTGGACTGTCCTGTTCTCTTGCAGAGGAGTTTTGTCACAGTGGTGCCAAAGTGTGTGAAAAGAAGCTGAGTAGGCTCAGGTTGTTTTCTTTAGAGCAGACAAGGCTGAGAGGGGACATGATCAAAGTGTATTAGATAATGAGAGTCATGGACAGTATGAATAGGAAGCAGTTCTTCCTTTTGGTTGAAGGATCAACAAGTGGGCGTGAATTTAAAGTGAAGGGCAGGAGGCTTAGATGAAAAGTAAGGCATTTTCTTTCATCTAGTGCGCATTTGGAAGCTCCAATGCACTACCTGGGAGGATAGCAAAAGCAAGTGCTATAAAGTGGGATAAGTATTGATAGATCGGCACAGGGTATACGGGCCAAAGGGCCTCTTCAATGTTGTAGGATCCAGTGATTTGCCCTGTATGACGTTAATCGATATCAGCACAAAAATTTAGGACAAACAAAAATTTCAGTTCTCAATCAATTTATAGAATTAGAGTACAGAAGAGGCCTTTTGAATATGCAATGACAAAAGTATTCTTAACCTGAAACAAAAACATAAATTGTTAGATAAATTCAACGTTTCACGTCCAGTGACCCTGCTTCAGAAAGGTTAACTTTGCTTTCTCTCCACAAATACTGCCAGACCTGTTGTTTTTCTCCAGCAATTTCTATTTCAGTTATTTTAATTCTATACTAGTCACACTTTGTTGTGCACGAATCTTCCCCTTACCCTATCATAGGTGTTTCCAATATCAGTCCAGGACTGAAACTCAGAACAGACAAACATCTATCCAGAGATAACAAGGTTTAGAACTGGATGAACACAGCAGGCCAAGCAGCATCATAGGAGCAGGAAGGCTTGGCCTGCTGTGTTCATCCAGCTCTACACCTTGTTATCTCAGATTCTCCAGTATCTGCAGTTCCTACTATCTCTGATACAACATTTATCCAGGTTTGAGTTTGTTGTCGGAAGAATCGCACCCCAAAAACCCCTACATGGGAGAGACGAAGGAATACTGCGCACGCATTCTGCGGGACGTTGCCCCATTAAAGAGGACACTGATAAACCAGGGCTGCAAGTACCCTAGGCCCGCAGCCGTTTTCTATAAAGGGGGGACGAAGAGACTTTATTCAGGTTTGGCGGATATATCCGGTATTTCCGTAACCTCACAGTCTCTACAAGAAT